TTTGAAACCAAAAAAAATAAAAGTAGGATGAAACCCATTGGAAAAGGAGAAGAATATAATAAAAATAAAAGAAATAATAAATTACGGGCGATCTGACTTTGGGAAGTGGGAGGGGGGGTTTTAAGGGTAAAAAATGGTTTATCTCGATTTCCGGTAAAACTACAAGTCCTATGGAAAAAAGTTAAATGGCAAAGTTGTAGGTAATAAAAGGATCTACAACTTTTGTAATTACAATTTTTTTACATAACCTCCAAATTTATGGGAAAAATTCAAAAAACCAAGTTTTTGGTTTTTTATTTTTATCTTTTTCAAAAAAAAATTTTTTTCCACGAAATTTGGTGAAAACTTACCTTTTTATGTCCCAAATACACTGTAATTTATTTGATTTGAAATATTTATTATTTCGCCTTATTTTGACTTAATATCAAAAAAGCACCCTAATTTTCAATCGAAAATTCTCGCGTCAAAATATCAGCTTTTTTCAAAAAGTCGGTGTGCTTTTTGTTTGTTGAAATCTCTACTTTCTGATGGTGTAAAAAAATATACATTACTATGGTAAATGTTCTCAGAAAATGCAAAAAATATTATAATGAATAACGAAAAAAACTCGAATTCGAAAATTTATTTTAATCATTATGTACAATTTCATCAAAAAAATGTGATTGTTGCAATTTTTTTTAGTTAAAAAGTTTATTTATTAAATTCTAATAACATTTATGTCAGAAAATCTCATAAAATATAAAAATACATGTAAATCATACTATTGAATTTAGATACTTCATTCTGATTACGATTGATTGAAAATTAGGGTGCTTTTTTGATATTAAGTCAAAATAAGGCGAAATAATAAATATTTCAAATCAAATAAATTACAGTGTATTTGGGACATATTTTTATTTTTAGTTATTTTTATTTGAGAAATCTTTTTTATTAAGAATACTATTTTTGTTGTTGCCCTAGTTCTCAAGGAAAAAAATCAAAACATTTTATTTTTAGGATTCGGGTATAAAATATTTAAAAAGAAAATTAAAATGTGCATCTTCACTCCAACGCAGTTTGCTTAACACTAAATCATTTAGTCTAAATGCAGCCAGAGACTCTGGCCCAGAGTTGACCTCGCTTACAATTCGCACGCATCCGGGGCTCTGGCCAATCAAATTCTATTTGGCGTTCTATCCTTGTTCTTTTCACGCGGGTATTGAACAGCCGTCCTTTCCAGTGCGGTCGGACTTGCATTTGCAAGCACTGTATACATATATATATATTTTCTCAGATGCCTACTTTATATTGTATACATGTAATATTTTATTTAAATAAAATACTACTTATGTAGATCAAAATTAAGTGATGCTTATCGAACCGCTTGATGTAGTAAAGGCAATACCGAAATCTTATATCAAAAGTACCTTTGAGGGGAAAACGTATTGTTAAATTTACTATGTTGGTTATGTTGAAGAAACCCCCTTGATGTATTAATTATACGATAATTAGTTGCTTTGTCAAAACGTTATGTAAGCATACCTAATAGGTATTACCTATAGGAAACAAATGTTACCCATAATGTTGAAATGCCTTAAAAATAAGCATTTGAAGAAAAAACCTTTCAATCTGTTGACACAATTTTGTTTAATTTTTAATTCGATAAAGCTTATAATTTAATTTTTCCACATCGATCGACTAAAAATAACATCAAATTCTATTCTATTAACGCTTCCTTAGGGTGAAAAATGTAATTAGATAATTATCAGTTTTTTTCCTTCCTTCCTGATTTTTAATATTTTGATCTCAATGAAGCACAATTTAATAAAATCTCCTAACTAAGCTAGTTAACTAGTAAAGGAAACGCGATTTAAGCAGGAAGACTTTAACGTACCCATGAATGGTTACTTAATCGAGAATTTTAACATAAAATTACTTTAGAGGGGATTATAGTCGTAAAGCTAATGGGTAATTTAAAAATAACAACTTGTATTTATATTCAAACCAAATTGCTTCCTAATCTAATACAAACAAATATCTATTCAGAATTTAGAAAATATATTCTTTTAAAATATATTTTTCATATTTTTTTCAAAATAACAATATTAAATATTTGCTCGATGGATTCTTTTTTTCGGTTGAACACTCCCGTTTGTAGTAAACTGCTCGACTGTACGGTGAAATGAAGTACGTGATCTGGAATACGCTGAGCATAGATAAAAATCCATTATTAATAACTACTTAACGAAAGGAGGTCTTTTTTTAATGCTGGCAGGTAAAAAGTGACCATGGTGCGCAATTGATAATTATCACCTAATGAAATAATGTATAAAACTTAAACCAAAGGAAACTTAAATTTTAGATAAGAAATCGTGGGTACTTTTTATAGAAAAATTATTGCAGAATTGTATAAGAAGAAAAATCGAACAAAATTTATTTTATCTCCACGTGGTCTATAATTTAAACTTTATTGTTGTCAACATTCAATAAAGAAATACCTTCTTATGGACTAGGCCAATAAAAATTTTATGAGGCAAGCAATTACTTAGATTTTTTCTCGCTAGGGGTATTGTTTTGACAAATTAATCCTTTTCTAAGAAATTTACTTACTAAACTGGTTTAATTAATTTATAATAAGCCCTAATTTGTTTGTTTTACTGTTAATGTTTAATATTTTTCATTAAATTATTGTAAAATTAAATATGAATAATAAAAAGTGAGGTTAGGCAACCAAGAAAACGCACAATTATTTTTCTACGATTTAAATTATCTTTAAGTTTTAATATGCTTTAAGTTTTCAGTGAAATTAAATGTTAAACACAGTTTAAACATTCCAAACTACCTATTTTTTAAATAAAAAACAAACAAATTGAAATTAGATACCTACCATTTATCAAACAATTAATTGAATTCAATGTAATAGCAAAAATCAATTTCTAATTAAATCATGTTGCTATAGCAACATGATTTAATACCTATAGGTATTGTCAAACTGCTTCTAAAAGCAATAATAATTATTGTACATTTAATCTAATCTTTAGCTAATAAATAAATGAGATTCTAAAAAAGTGAGGTTAGGCCGCTTTGATGTTGAATTAAATTGACCTATATAAAGTGCTTTGAAGATAAAATGTTGTATGCCATTCGGGCAAGAAGTGCCTTTTTGTGCTTCGCTCAATTGTAGGCCTCCGCTACGCGTCGGCCTTCAAACCTTGAGCTTAGCACAAAAAGCCTTACTTCTTGACCTAACGACATAAATAACTATTTATTCATTACAGAGCCATCTATTACAAATATGAAAGAATGTTTTAGACAAAATTTACCTATTTTTAGTCGAATGATTCGAATCTGCAATAAAAATATATATTTATTGTATTATTTTATTTTGAGCTAACGAATATAAAATTAGTTTTAAACACGATTATGCTGAATTTTTCACATATTGAGAGCACTTTTCTGAATGTTTACTTTACGAGCAAAACAGCCTCAAGGGACGAGTCAAATTTTCCTGCAGGAATAATTTTATATTTAAATTACATTAAAACGAGCGTTAAAAGCGTTGTTGTTCACGCACAGTGTTGCCAGATTTTCTTCGAACATTCCACTTATTAATTTTCATTTTGTTTTATATTTCACAGCTTGCAGATTTTTATCGTTCTTAATCAAATGTAGTGCGAGAATTTGATTTTTAAACTTGGAAACATTTCAATTTTAATGGCAGAAAAATTTACGTCCAGCTCTAAAAGTGTTAATCTGATTTATCTCATATTTTCTCAGCAATACTCTAGAAGAAAATGTAGTCTGCTAAGTAAAAAAAATATTTATTCAGTTTCAAAGAACACTCAACGCACTAGACCATATCAAAATGATTTATGTATATTTTTTTATTAGATATGCTTTTTTTGTTTTAACTTGAATTATAACTTTTGTAATAACAAAGTTCAGATTTTACAGTTTTATAATGTACGTTTTAATTAATTTCATACTTTTCTTGAACTTAAGATTTTTTTCTGGGGTCACATCAAATCCCTTGTTTAATTAAAACTTTGTTTTTAAATGTGCAAGGCCAAAATTTTGAGCAGTTTTTGTAATTATTCGTAATGTAATGTTTTAAAAGTCTAAAACCTATCCTTCGTGACTGTTACTCTTTCTAGGTTAACCTATATGTTTTCAAATATCTGAGGTTGTAAAAGCATACTAAAAATATCAGAATATAAGTTCACTAAGTAAATTTTAAAAACACATCCAAAGCAATCGAATCAAATATAAAATATTATTAAAAATTAAAAGAAAAAAATTTTATAACCATTTATGTAGGTGTTACAAAAATTGATTCTATCCTCCGTGAATCTGATTTTGCTTTAAATTTTATGCAACGGATGGCGCTTTAATCATTATAAATAAGCAAAAACCTCTGTTTACGACATTATAGATGCATGTGATTCCTGAAGGTCAGTTAGAATTTATATGCAGATGAAAGTGTTGCGGTTTTATAATTCAAAAGTTTAAGTTCATTAATTTGCTATTTAAAATCCTATCCACCGTGAAGTGTAATACCTCAGTAAGTAGATTTTGTATAAATATTTTATGTATGTACAATTGTATTATTTAAAAATATTAAGGTGTCAAAAGATACAATTACTTGTTTCAAATATACAAAGGGATGTTTTAAAAAAATATACGAAATCCTAACCTCCGTGACACTATCTTCCGTGAAGCTCTAATATTCAAAATGTATGATTTCTTAAAATTCTTGTATTAGTGCAGAACCACTTATGTTATGTTAATACTAGACCTGGTGGCTTCCCAAAAACCCCATTCTAGACTGACAGTGAATCGACCAAAAATAAAAAATAATCATTTTCACTTGCGGGACATCTCAATATATTCACCGTTATTTTTTCGACTTTGGTTAATTAATATTTTTGTCATAAAGTACACATAGTATTTGTTCTGCTGAAATAACGTTAAATGAAACTTAAATATTTTATTTATATGTATAGTGAATAAGAACATGTTACCTGCAGGTAAGTGGTTTAACTTCTTTCTTAGTTAAGGAAAAGTACTCTTGAATTACGTTCTTCATATTTAATGAAAATTCTTCTAAAAATGCTATTGCCAACTTCGCAATAAAGTTAAGGAGCATTTGTGTTTCCAAATAAACGGAAAACTTTTGATTGGTCAAATTTTTGTGGTCAGATGACCTTTGTCCAAACCAGCCGAAACTCTGATGTTAACTTTGAAATGAGGAACCTAATACTTATTGGCATTTCCATGTTTAAAGTGGAAATATCAGTCTACATAATATTAGACGATTTAATAATAGTATACATATTATGTACCAAGTTTGATAATCTTTTAGTTACGAATTTAATTTATACACGAGGGAGCTTGTGAGCGAGTTCTTAATTAAATAAGTGGCTAGAAAAATTTATTAAGAGTTGCATACCATATTTTGTGAAAATGATTATTTTTTATTTTTGGTTGTTTCACTATTAGTCTAGAATGGGGTTTTTGGGAAGCCACTAATGCAAGAATTTTAAGAAATCATACATTTTGAATATTAGAGCTTCACGGAGGTTAGAACATCCCTTTGTATATTTGAAATAAGTTATTGTATCTTTTGACACCTTAATATTTTTTAAAAATACAATTGTATATACATAAAATATTTATAAAAAAATCTACTTACTGAGATATTACACTTCACGGTGGATAGGTTTTTAAAAAGCAAATTAATGAACTTTTGATTACAAAACATCTGCGTATAAATTTTAACTGACCTTCAGGAATCTCATGCATCTATATGGTCGTAAACAGAGGTTTTTGCTTATTTAAAATGATTAAAGCGCCATCCGTTGCATAAAATGTAAAGCAAAAACAGATTCACGGAGGATAGAATCAATTTTTGTAACACGTACATAAATGGTTATAAAAATTATTTCTTTTAATTTTTAATAATATTTTATATTTGATTTTTGGTATGCTTTTACTACCTCAGATATTTGAAAACATATAGTTTAACCTAAAAAGAGTAACAGTCACGGAGGATAGGTTTTAGGTTTTTAAAACATTGTAAAAAGTAAGTAATTGCTGTTAAAAGTCTTTTCTCTTAATTTTACCAATGTTTCTTTAAAAGGTTATAACTTTTAAATTTTTTTTATTCAAATGGGAATTTTTATATATGTAGATTAAGGTGTAATTTAAACTTATTAAAAAAAATATACAATTTTTTGTTCGATTAAAAGATATATTAGTTTATTAAATGTGTGCGTAATTTTTAGCCAATTTTACTGTTTTAAAAACATTCTACTTTGAGTGTCAAAAAATCAAAACTTAATTATTTAAAAATAATTCTTTACCAAAATCTATTGCTTTAACATGTTTTTAACGAATTAGAAAAATAAAAGTTGCAAAAATGGTGGATTCGCCGGGATTAATTAAGTCAAATTTAATTTTGCTTTATTTATGGGTTAATTTCCTAAATCCTGCAACTGTCTTAGCAGCAATAATTTACTAAAACAATTTGGGAAATTATTTGCTTATCAGATTCAAAACAGCTAAGAACATATTTCCATTTCCATTTACGGAAATTACTTAAGGCTTCTTAAAATTTTGTCTGCAAACAGGAAAACTTTTGTTTAAAGTAAAAAACTCGAATAAACTTTTTTGGTAATTACGTTAAAGTGCACTTAGGTATGAAATCAATTTTAATGGAATCCTGGATAAATTAAATGACGTTGTTAATTTAATTCTCATAGGATAAGGAAATGTTGAGTAAAACAGGGTTAGTCATTTAACTTGAAACTGAAATATTTCAGTTAATACGAGGTGTGTTCAGAAAATATCGGGAATTTTCGTTTTTTGAAACAAATATTTATTTATTCGTCTACATTAATGTTGTCGCCTTCAAAATAGTCCCCATTGGATATTATGCACATGTGCCAGCTCTTCTTCCAATGCTCGAAACACTTCTAAAACTCGATTTTTGGGATAGCCTTTAGTTCTTTCAGCGATGCGCTTTTAATGTCATCTATGCTTGCAAAACGACGGCCCTTTAAGGTTCTCTTTATTTTTGGGAATGGGAAAAAGTCAGACATAGGCATGCCTGGCGAATATGGAGGCTGGGGCATCATTACGGTATTGTTTTTGGCCAAAAATTTTGTTCAAAATTTAACAATTTTGGAACAAATTTTGCTGCCACGCGTTTCATACCCAAAACATTTGAAAAAATTTCATGGGATGAGCCTATCGATATTCCAACATCATCAGAGACTTTTCTGATGGTTTATAACCATTTCTTCCACTTTTTCCATATTTTTATCGGTTGTTAATGTGCTTGTGCGTTCGGGGCGTTCGTCATCTTCAACGTCTTCACGGCCATCTTGGAAACTCTTATACCACTTGTAAACTCTTGTTTTATTTATAGCAGACTCACTATAGGCCTTTGTTAACATTTCACAGAATTTATTTCATTTTTGAAGCAAAATTGGATACAAATTTCTTTGATCCATTTCTTTCAACAAACGATAAATCGCCGAGCTCATAAAACACGTCTATCCTTAGCGGCTGCCACAGACAAAGAAAACAATGAAAACAGCTAAAGTTTTTATCATACTTCGGGGGCATGTATACCAACATAATAAAGAAAATTTTATGACAACCGGACCCTCCGAAGCCGCAAAATTTAACAATTCCCGTTATTTTCTGAACACACCTCGTACAAAATCTACTCTGTATATAATAATTGAGGAAACACGCTGGACGTTTACATTATTTATAGGGAATACTGTGGTTTTCTGCAATTCCAGGAAAAAGTTTTTCAAGCACTAGAAATTCAACTCTTTAAATGCATTAAAGGCAATTTTTCCATCGGCTATAACCGCAACGAATTCGAGATTCTTTTAAACTAATACGCCCACTAATACCATTTTCATGATGGCCGATGGACAACGGCAGCATAAAATTTAACGAGATAATTTTTCACATACACACTTAGCAAAATTTACTGTCAATTTTACAATTGTATCGGTTCAGTTATTGAGTTAGACTTTGTACTGAATCCCAGGAATTTCATCGTTGCCATGTCGTGACACGAATCCGTTTTATTGAAAATTTATCGCAAAATCTGGTTTATTGCATTTTTAGATTTGCTTTATTATTTAACGATGTTTTTATTGGAATGTTAAGTTTTTAAAGTAAGTGAGTTTCGTTGTTGTATCAAAGACAAACAACAATTTTTTAAATTATTCTAAAAAGAAATTTTACATTTTTTTTTAAATTAACAAATATTTTTTTACTGTGTAGGTACACACAAACATTGGAGGCAAGCCGAAACTAAATTAAATCTGGAAAATATGGAAATGTTCCGGTGTACCTAATTCGGTTGAATTTCCAACATGTCAGACACAACAATAATTTATCCACGTAATGTAATAGTACGCTAACTATTATTTCTGCTTAGGGCATTTTATATTTCACAGGCAATTTGCTGCAGATAATTTATGTACAATACACTGGAAATTTTTTGGAGATAAAAATAAAATCTGAAACGTGCTTTTCACAGGTTTTTGGTAACGCCTTTGTATTGGGGTTAGCCAGAGTGATGAGCAGGAAAATCCCCTTCTTTAATATACGAGGTGTGTTCAGAAAATATCGGGAATTTTCGTTTTTTGAAACAAATATTTATTTATTCGTCTATATTAATGTTGTCACCTTCAAAATAGTCCCCATTGGATATTATGCACATGTGCCAGCTATTCTTCCAATACTCTAAACACTTCTAAAACTCGATCTTTGGGATAGCCTTTAGTTCTTTCAGCGATGCGCTTTTAATGTCATCTATGCTTGCAAAACGACGGCCCTTTAAGGTTCGTCATCTTCAACGTCTTCACGGCCATCTTGGAAACTCTTATACCACTTGTAAACTCTTGTTTTACTTATAGCAGACTCACTATAGGCCTTTGTTAACATTTCACAGAATTTATTTCATTTTTTAAGCAAAATTGGATACAAATTCTTTGATCCATTTCTTTTAACGAACAAAAATCGCCGAGCTCATAAAACACGTCTAACCTTAGCGGCTGCCACAGACAAAGTAAATAATGACAACAGCTAAAGTTTTTATCATACTTCGGAAGCATGTATACCAACATAATAAAGAAAATTGTATGACAACCGGACCTTCCGAACCCGCGAAATTTAACAATTCTCGTTATTTTCTGAACACACCTCGTAGTAGAAGGGTTTTGGGCCAATTTTAATTGATAATATCAAATTATATGGTTTTTATTTTTGAAAATTGTTTAAATTATCCTAAGCATTTTTTATTATCATATTCCAATGTTGCCATTTTGACGCTAGCGATAATTTATAGTATATTTGAGTAATTGTGTTTGGCATTTACCTATTATTATTCAAGGGATGAAATGTAAACAATGGTAAACGGTTATCACAAGTGCTTATGAACGTTTATAGTTAAATAGGACGCTCTGTCGGATGCAGATTTAGTCGAAAACATCATGCAACACTGCTTTTTGTCTATGGAAAATGGAAATTTACCATTTACCATTTATCAAAAATTGTAACACTGTAATTACATTTTTCTTCTGTACACGATCTCCAATAATTTTTGAATAAAATACTTGGTTTTATTTTTTAAATTTCAAAATAACAATATTAAATATTTGCTCGACGAACTCTTTTTTTTGGTTAAACACTCCCGTTTGTAGTAAACTGCTTGACTGTACGGTGAAATGAAGTACGTGATCGGATTTTTGCCTTCTTCTTCATAAATCAAAATCATTTCTATTTTTTCTTCCAATGTTAAAAAATCCATTATGAATAACTGCTTAACGAAAGGAGGTCTTTTGTTTGCAAATTAATTTTTGAACCAAATTGATTAAATAATGCTAAACTATGTAAATAGTTTCTTTATACCTCAATAATAATTATTATTTTTAACTAAATACCTCAATTAGGATTTAATTAATTAATTCTTTGTTAAAAAAACAATACCATTAATATTTTCTTTTAGTCACTGTATTGTGAATTAAACTTTAATTTATAAACACCTATTACCAAGTG